CTGTGCCAAGACGTATCGAGTCCTATCAAGGGAGTGGCTGGGCGAAAGCAGAACTGCACGGACCTTGCAGAACGAATTGCTGCGATTCCCAAGACTGATCGAACAACAATTCAAGCGATTGCACTATTCTTAACATGCCGCCAACTACACTGCATGGGTACTACAAGTATGGCCTCCTTGACCGTCATTCGAGCCACGTCAAGCCACTCCTCACGAATACCAAATAAAGCAGCACGGGTCAAGTAGGCCAATGGATTCGTGAATTGCGAGTCTTGTTGTCGATGACATGTGTAATGATGGCAAGGTTGCCGACCAAGAATACAGCTTGTCGCATCGTTAAGAGAACGATGGCAAGACTGTCGAACAAGCTAAAGATTGTCGCACCATTAGCGGGCAAGGCCGTTGAAGAAGCCGTAGAGAAAGAACATTTACTTCATGTAGTTTAGTATAGTATACATTTTCGTAGTTAGTAGTTTAAGACGACAATCTAATCACTTTCCAATTTACTCTGTGAAGCTCGCTACCGTTACAACATGAGACTACACTGTATGTTCACATTGATGAAAAATGGTTCTATATGCCCGTGTGAAGAAAACATTGTACCTTCTTCAGGGTGAAATCCCAAATCCAAACGATTCATCATCCAAGTGATGTTCATTTCGACTGTCGCTCGTCCTCACTGGAATCACTCAACGAATGAATAGTTTGACGGCGTGATTGGGACATGGTACTTTACCGACACCGTTTGGCGCAACGTTCAAGCCGCAACCGATCCAGTGGAACACTCGTCATGGTCCCCAAGACTGTGACCCGGGAGGCTTACCGGAATATGCTTGTCAACAACGTCGTACCTGCTATCAAGGCAAAGTGGCCACAGAACACTAATACTACCTCTGTCCGGTTTTAATTGTCGTGATTTTTTCACAGTGGGATCAAAAATCAGAAGATTTTTGTAAAGAGCTGTGATTGGCCAAAACAAATAATTGAAAAAGCAAGGCGAATCGAATGGCGGTCGAATTACCAAGATTGGCATGATGGATCACAAGACACACGAATTTGAATGTCCTTGCACTTTTCATTTGAAAAATACATACGTCGGTCTCGCATGAAGTTTCGCCGCCTCCATGAAAACGACAACGTCGCTATATAGCTGTTCTGCTGTATAACAGCACCTACGGAAAGCCACGCTATGGAGACGTTAAGCAACAAGCTGAGGCTTATAATGTGACCGAGCGCACCATACAGCGTGGACCCGTGGACTAGCCAACCTGTCGTTCAAACCTACGCCGTCGCGACAAAGAAAGCCAGAGGACATTTTGACCTTGCAAGAACGAGGTTCAAAGCTGCATCCAACACAAAAGATGGATTTCCGCACAATGGCAGAAGCCTTGGATATTCCAAAATCTACTCTGCACGACTGCTTCGCTGCTGGCATCATTGTCCGCAAACACTCGTCGTTGAAACCGTTGCTGACCCCCGAAAACTTGCAAGCAAGAAAGCAATACGCGCTCGCCTTCACCGATGTCATCTCTGGCTCTGTCGTTTTCGACGCCATGATGGAACTAGTCTTCTTGGACGAGGAATGGTTCTACCTGCGCAAGGTACCATGGGAGGAAGTACCAAAGTTGTCGACCAAGAACAAAAGTTTCGTTCCAAGTGTCATGTTCTTGACGGCAGTTGCACGGCCGCGGGTCGACGACGGAATCCAGTTTGACGGCAAACCTGGTATTTGGCCCTTCGTTGAACAAGTCGCTGCACAGAGGCGCAGCCACCGGCGCGAGGCAGGAACGTTGGAGACAAAGTCCGTAGCGGTGACAAAATCTACGTACAAGAACATGCTCTTTAATCGAGTATTCCCGAGCATTTTTGAAAAGTTCCCACTAACCTACCAACTCATTGTTGTCCAACACGACAACGCTACGCCTCATGGAATCGCCTTGGACCCTGACGTTGTCCGTGCCAGCGCAAGCCATGGGCGCCAAATCGTGTTCGGTAGCTAACCACCCAACAGCCCAGATCTAAACATATTGGATCTGGGCTTCTTTAACTCCATCCAAAAGTTGCAGCAGAAGATGCCAGCCTACACTGTGGACGAGTTGATCAGCAACGTGAACGCCGCATATCTCAACGTATCCGATGAGTCACTCGACAACGTGTTCTACACGTTGCAGACTGTGTAGTAATGTATTCTGGAGACAGATGGAAGCAACAAGTTCAAGCTCAAACACATCGGCAAAGAAGCAAAACGCCGACGAGGTGAGCTTGATGAGTCCTTGACTTCCTCGGTGGACATGTACCTCGCTGCTCGTCTTGCTGACGTTTCTGTTGACCAAGAATAATTTTTTTCCAATACATTTGCATCAGTCTTGACATTGTCCAATAATGTATAATCACGACAATCAAAACCGGAAATCGCATTTTAAAAAGGCGACAATTAAAAGCAGGACAATGCGCGGTCTCATGTCCTTGCGTCAGACAAAGTTGTCATGGCTGCGAGCAGCATGAGCGCGTTGACTGTGCTGCTGGTATGCCAACCTCCCAATTCACCTGATCTAAATGTGTTAGATCTGGGGTTCTTTCGTGCGATACAAACCTTGCAGGAGAAGAAGCGTTGCACGACAATTGATGGCTTGATTGATGCCACCTTGACAGCTTGGAACGATGTGGAACCTACGACTTTGAATGCAAACTTCCTTACCTTGCAAACGTGTTTGGTCGAAGTCATTCGTGCTGGAGGCAACAAGAACTACAAGAAACCTCACATGGGCAAGGCGAAGTTGTTGAGGGAAGGCAGGCTACCTGATTCAATTGTATGCCCACGCGAGGTTGTTGAGCACGGCCAGGAGATCATGAACAAGGAAGACTTCGACTTGCACGTTTCGCTTTTGGCAGCCAAAGTTGCTCGCGATGTGGAGATGGCCGTCATCTCGAGTTCAATCGAGAGCCTGTGTCTTGCCAACAACTGCGATGACGATAAGGGCAAAGCGACCAAGATATCAGCTGGACCGACCGTGCTGACTCTATTTGAGAAATTATCTGAGTGTTTTTATTGGATATTGACTTGTTCAATTGACATAATGTTTTCACTCTTATTGGTACAAAATTATATTTTATCTAATCATAACTCGTAAATGCATATCGATCAATCATTTCCGAGTTCAACTTTTTTCAAATTAATCAATCATTTTCGTAAGGAGGTAGTAGGTGAACAATCAATTTACAGTGAAGACCTTCAATCAATTTAAGTTAAAATGTGCATGAGCCAATGAAAAGGCGCAAAATTTCCTTGAGGCAATGAAGATGCGAAATAATTTATCCACACAATTTATATGCAAAGAGGCATACGATATTCAAGATAAAATATGCGTTCTAAATTGATTGTTAAAATTGAATCCAACTTGCTTGGGTTTTGTTGTTATAGTCATTAGAAATGCACCGAAACCCATTATAATTGATACTTCCTCCGTTCCTGAATATTTGCATGACTTTTTTGCTCCTGTTTATATATACAGGTTTGTGTGCAAACTAAGACATTTCGCCGCGTTACATATATTTTTATTCAAAAACTACGTTACACGACGAACGATTGCATGATGTACATACAAAAAGGCCCAGAAGCTCATCAGTCCTCTAAAGTGCCTCTGAACCTGAAACACGAAGTCCAGAACCAATAAGACCTACAATCTCCTCCACACGTTGGTCGTCATCCAATGCAATCGACTCTCCATCAATTGGATGGCCGATAGCACGTCGTTATCACACACAGGTCGCAAGTCCATCACACCACCTTCTGTTGCAAGTCCTTCTTCAAGTGCGGAAGCTTGTAGACGTTGTCACCTTCAATCTTCATCGACTCCTCCATCACCTTCTGCAGCGTCATGTATGTCTTGTCCAAGACACACCACGCCAAGCTGTTGAACGCATCTTCAACACACTTGATCAGGTCGTCAATGGTTCGAGCCGTCGTCTGGTGCTGCAAGCTTTGGATGGCGTTAAAAAAGCCGAGATCAAGGACATTGAAGTCCGGGCTCTAATCAGGCTGGGCCATGAGCTTGATATTCCACCCATTCTTGGTCCCCGCAGCCGCCACTTCAGCATCATCCACAGGGACGTGCGGTTTGGCGTTGTCTTGACTTGTTCGCCAGAAAGTACCGGTAAACAGGCTTCGTGACTGTCATGGGGGCAGTGATTGGCGTGCTGCGGTCACGATTCTTGCTCTTTCGTTGGGCCATCTTGGTCTCCACAAACGGCGAAAGTCCGACCTTGCCATCCCACATTACATGGTGCCAATAGTTGTGTCTGGGTCGAGCAACAGCGCACAAAAACATCACCTTGGTGATGTGTCGTTTTGACTGGGCCTTCCGTTGCGGCACTGGCTCGTCGTGCCAAAGATAGAAGCTTCGATTCACCTCGGTGATGTAAAACCACTTAACATCGAGCATGTCGTGCGAGCGACAAGAACCCGTTGGACCATGTCGAAGGAACGACTTCGTGAAGTTGTAACGTGCGACGCGATGTTGCGGTCAACATCGGCTTCAGAAGGCTTGTTCTGCGTTGCAGCTTCCTCCACTTCAGTAACCGCCACAGTGGAGTCTTGGGAATCCCTGTAGCAGCTGCCATTGATCTGAAATTGCTTCGAAGATGCGGAGGTACACGAATGATGACGTCACGCACGTCTGCACCATCGTACTTGCGTCGAGCACCGCACCGTCCTGTCATTCTTGATGCAACCTTCGTAAAACCAGTCTCCATGGCTGTTTGGCACCCCCTCTTCCAGATTCGTGAAATCGTGGATTGGTTAACGTTTAATGATCTAGCGAGCTTCTTCATCTCGCCATGTCGCACGCTGCCATTCTTTTTGAGTTGCAGGAGTCGATGATACACCGCCGACCTTTGGTCGTCGGTGAGGTTACGACCGGTCGCGGGCCTAGGCATTTTGAATTGTCCGTAACTTGGGTTGCAGGAAGTTGTCGGGGGGTTCCAGGTATATCTACGCAACGAGACGAGTCGTATGCGCGTGGTTTGAGCACAATCGGATGAGAAATGACGGAGATACGTTACTGTTAGTTTAAAGATTTTCCTCCAACGTAGCTGAACTTAGCCAGCGTATACCTTGGGAATTACGGCGAATTAAATTGTTCTGAAAATATGTGGTGAAAGTGCATGCCATTGGCTGTCTTCCGCCATTTCCGGCGATGTAAAGCTCTCTCTACCCTAAGTTGTGGTCTCTGACGCAAAGTCATGCAAATATTCAGGAAGGGAGGAAGTACAAGGTTGTTCCCGATTAATTCAGCTACCGGTATCTCCAAGTTTCAGAGGTCGAAAATGTTGTATAAGCATTAACTGTACATTCCGCAATCCGGCGAATCTGATTGGCTTAGCGAGACAAAAATAAGACGTAATAATTTTTCCAGTACGTAGGCACTGGAGGAAGTATTCGATACGAAACTCAAGTCAAACCCCAATAGTGATGTATGGTGCATTTCATCAAAAGGATAGAAAGAAATGCCTTGTCTTTCGACAGCTATTCCAACTTCGTATTGATATGTTCTAGGAAAATAAGCCGTAAGAACGATAGAACTGGACAAGCCCAACAGAAGTTACGGTTCACAATTTCGATTGGTGAAAAATTGATCGAGTAATAGAATTTAAACCAACCAGCCTTTTCGTATGGAAATATATGGAGCCAGGCACATTTTGGGCGAAAAGGAGCATCAAGATTATTTTGGTCTTTGAATATAGCACTTATCCGTACGAACGTTTCCATTTATCCGGATTATTCAGGACGTTTAACCTATTTGCCAGATAAAAAACGTAACTAATAATGATTTAACGTCAAATTTACGTGGGTTTAACTCAGAACCGAGGCGTTTAAACTAAAACGTCTCCTCCTGAGGATGGCCGATCTGTAGTCTTTAGATGAAATGCCCCATATGTAACACATTTGACTCTGCATATTGTGAAAATGGTGAGAATTGTAGCATTCAAAAATGCATATACATCTATGCACTAATACAATAATTCTAGCAATGGTGTCAAGTTGCTGAACATCAGAAAGTCGTCGAAGGGTGGTTGAAACATGTTGCGAACTTAGGTTTGTATGATTAACGTCAACAGTAAAATTGTCACTCCCCCTGATGTATCTGTTACAAACGTGACAAGGTGGAAAGTGTCAAGAGGGACGATGTAGAGGGTAGCACTGAGGAGGAACGACGACGAAGAACACTTGTGTGGTCGATGACAAAACCAAAAGTGATCATTAACGGACTGTTTAGCTGACCTATGATTGGGCATAAACAGTCCGGTTTCTACAGGGAAAGAACACCGGATAATTCCGGATGACCGGATATATTCCGTAAGTAACCGAACCTCGGCGAAAAAGGCCAAAGGAAGAACGGCCAAAGTGCCCCTTCTTGACAGCCACCCCACTGGGCAACGGACTGCTGAAGGCCTTCGAGACGAAGTTCTCAAAGAGAAGCAATGCCAAAGGCAAAAAGGGCTTAGCGAAAAATTCGCGAAGGCCAAAAAGTGCCAAAGGCATGTCACTACAATAGCCACCCTGAGAACAGAGGCGAAGAAGGTAGGACAGGAACACACAAAAAAAATATAGTGTTGGGCGCATAAGTGCTTGGTTACTCATAGAGTAAGGCAAACGCCTAAGGTAATGCATAAATGCAAGGGTGCTCAAAGAGCATGGTAAATACCATAAAGCATATATGCAACGAAGAATAAGAAAGTGTGGCTAAAAGTAGCGGGTAAAAACCCAAGTAAAATTGCCAGAATCAAGAGTACAAAGTAATACTCAGAGAGTAGGGGTACACCCAAGTAAAATTGCCAGAAGCAAATGTACAAGTAATACTCAGAGGGTAGTGATATAAACCCATGAAGTACAAGTAGGATGGATTGAGGGGTGTGGAAGCACCATGTAGAAACTTGAACAAACCATGACGCCACTCGTACGGGCGATACTTGAGCAGCGCCGCGGGCCAGACGGGACCGCCGACTTCAAAACGGCACGAGCAGACATAGAGTGCACAAGTCGCCACATGGTCGAGGGCGAAAATGAAGGCGGAGAATGAAAAGTGTTTGCTTAGAATGCAGGTGCAATTAAGGCATGATAAATATCAATAACAGCCATAAAGGCTTAAAAAAAAGTAAACGCAATGCCATAGGCAAGGGTCACTGGGGTACACGGCCACAAAGGTAGTCAGTCACCAAGGGCATAGAGTCGCAGAGCGAGGCAGAACCTGCGAAACGCAGGTTCCGGGTGCGCCTTCGTAAAGAAGTCCGCAAGTTGTTCTTTGGTAGGACAATAATGGAGAATAAACTCCTTGTTCTCAACGAGATCTCGAACAAACATAAAACGCACATCGTGCTTGGAGCGCCCATGACGCTCAGCATTTTGGGCGATGCTGATAGCAGACTGATTGTCCTCATGAACCGAAATTGGTTGATCACTTGTGTGATGTAGTTCGGCAGCGAGTTGACGAACGTATAAACATTCTTGGATGCAAAGGGCAAGAGACACAAACTCGGCCTCGGTCGTCGACAGAGTCACGATTCCTTGCTTCTTTGAAAGCATGAAATAAGACTGTTGAAAAATAGGATAAAAAATCCACTGACACAGCGTCGAGTATCGGGACACATGGCATAGTTAGCGGATAGAAACGGCTTGGAGACATAGTCTTGGCCGCCTAACATAAGTCCAAGATTGGAAGTGCCTTGGAGATAGCGTAGAACGCGTTTGGCAGCACGCCAATGGGCAAGACCCGGGTTGTGCAGAAACTGCGAGAGTTGTTGAAGGGCATAATCCAAGTCTGGGCGAGAGCCCATGGCTAAGTACATAATACTGCCAACTATTGACCGATAGGGTTTGGTTTGCATAAATGCAATGTCTTCAGGTGAACTAGCACACTGAGCTTTGGATAAAGGTGTGGTGCACTCAAAAGGAGTGGCGACGGGCTTGGACGTTGACATGTCAAAGCGATCAAGTACTGTAGAACAGTAACGAGACTGGTGAATGAACAGAGTTCGTTTGGAACGGTCACGGACAATTTCCCAGCCGAGAATATCTCGAACAGGACCTAAGTCCTTCATCTGGAAGCGTAGTGATAGTGACTCCTTGAGAGCGACAGCAAGAGCCTTGGTAGGAGTAATGATCAAAAGATCGTCAAAGCCCAAGGAAGCCATATAAGTGACAAAGTCCAGTACCATAGGTGAGGAGCTTGTTTGAGTCCATAAAGACTCTTTTGAAGGAGGCAGACATAGTCGCGCCTAGAGGATCAATGAGTGAACCAGGAGGCTGCTCCATGCGTATAACGCAGTCGATTTTGCCATTTAGAAAGGCGGTTTTGACGTCCATTTGTTCGCATTCCAAATTATGCATTCCAAATTATGGATGGCCACTAAGGCAAATAGGAAGCGTAGGACTTCAAGTCGAACAACAGAAGCAAACATGTCCGTGTAGTCGATGTATTTTTGTCGCATGAACCCTTTGACGACAAGTCGGGCTTTGTAAGTGCCATCGGCTTTGAGTCGAAAGACCCAGCGACACGGTACAACCGTTTCATCATGACGATGTTTGACGAGCACATAAGTGCCGTTGAAGAGTAAAGACTCGTATTCGGACTTGGCGGTTATAAGCCATTTGTCGCGGTCAGGACGAGACATGGCATCACGCCAGTCTTTGGGGTCGTTGTTGTTGGTACGGTCGGCAAGCAATGCATAGATAAACAATATGGTTCTATAGGAACCAAAGGAGGAGCAGAGCTCGAAGGTGGTAAGGACGGCGCAAGCACGAGTGATGTGGTAGGTGGCAAGTGACTCCAAAGGAGTTGTGTCCATGAGGAGGCAACTTGAGTAATGACTAATCAAGTCAAGTGTTGTTTTGGCCATTGATGGCTGAGCCGACAAGGCTGTTGGTAGATGGGCCGAGAAGGCAGACTGGTTGCGACCATAGGATCGTTGTAACGGAGTAGCTGTTGGGTCAAAGACCGGACTGGTCAATGAAAATGCCAAAAAGACATCTCGAATTCGTTTGGGTAGTTGCACAGAAAGTGCTGGGATTGGTCGAGACGACGGAGGTTCCGTAGAGAGAACGGGTGGTGACGAAGTCAAAGGCTTGTCATAGAGGAAGTCACTTGGCCTGTTGGTAATGATGGAGTGCAGTGGCGGCAATGGTGCGTTGGGTTTCAAGGTAGGAATAAAGTTGGGGTCGGTGGTAGATTTTTGGCGATACGTCGCAGCAGCAGCAACAGAGTTTATGGCTGGGAATTCGGACTCCCAGAAGGTAACGTCACGAGAGTAGATAAGTAGGTGAGAGTGCAAATGTATGAGGGTATAACCCTTGCGATCATGTGGGAGACCCACAAACATGGCCTTTACGGCACGGGGATCGAGCTTGAATGATTGCGCGGCACGTTGAATGTGTACAAACGCGGTG